TGGGGATTGGAAAGGCGGTATGGGCCAGAGGGGAGTGGTGGTAAGAATCTTAAGTAGAGGAGACACTTAAGATGAAGGGAATTTGGTTGGACTCATCACCCTGGATCTGCTAGACGCCGAAACCCAGTAGTCCCCGGTTTTCATCTCTAGACGATGTGGTGACGATACCTGCTCCCTCCTCTGCAGACCTTGGGGGTTCCAGTAGTGAGAGCTGCAGGGAAGAGGAAGTCAGAGCCTTTATAAGTGCCATACTCACAAACCTCTCATATCCAAACTCAGATCCAGATCCGGAAAGTCAGGCAGGGACCCCCAAAGATGCATACATAGAGCCTCTATTGACTCACTGAGGTAGGTACTTTTACCTCCATTTTACAGCTTGCCAAACTGAGCTACAACAGAGGTGACTTCTTCAAGGTCACAGAGCTTATAGACAAAGCCAAGGTCCAAGCCCACACAAGCTGGCTTCAGAGTCTCTGTATTCAACCTTGAGTGTATTCCTGCCTTCCCTGTGGTCATAGGAGATGAACCACTGAGTTGGCACATACTAAGTGCTCAGTAAACGTTGTCTGTCAGTATTATCAATGTCCTGATTTTACACCCAAGAGACCGAGGTGGAGAGAGGCCAAATAACTGACCCACAGTTTCAAAGCTGGGGCTAGAGTACTGCAGACCCGAGCCCTAGACCCGGGAACAGCTTCACAAACGCCCACACTCCCACATATGCACAAAGATACTTGCTTTTAGGGGAGCCAAAGCTTGGGGCTCAGATGTCAGGGTGATGTGTTCAGGCCTGTCCTGAGCAGAAAGGACTTGGCATGGGGCCTGTCAACACCTACCCTAGTATATGAGGCTCTGGGAACTGGGAGGTCTTGGTCCTGAGCTGGCTCTACTAGGCTGTGTGTCCCTGGGTGGTTCCTCAGTCTCTGTTCTGCTTGGAATATGACTAGGCCCTGCCTCTTTAGAGGAGGATTTGACAGGTTTTAGAAGAAAGGAGTGGGGTACTTTCTGATCCTGAGGGAGGGAGGGTGGCAGCCAGCTGTCTAGGCTTTCACATGGGTAGATGGAGCAGGGCAGGGCCCCAGCAGGAACAGGTGACCTGTTTTCTTCCTGCTTAAGTGGAATTCCTCCCATCTCCTGCAGAGGAAGGCTGGGGATGGGAGCTGGGATGTAGCATCCAGTGTTTTGCACTGGAGCAATTGGGATTCGAATCCCTCTACCCTGTGATCTGTAGCCATCCACTAGTCCCTGAGCCTCTAGGGTCTCTCTCCTCCTGCCCCAGGACATCTGTGCTTTTGATTACTGAACAACCCTAGGGGACCCTGTGTTGGCATTTACACAGCATGAATTAGACTTAATGTGGGATCAGAGTGTGGTTCCAGGTTTACCCCTTAATGACTCTGTGATGGTGGGTGAGTCATATCCCTTCTCCTCCAAGTTTCCTCATCTGTGAAATGAGGCAAATGCTGGTGCCTAGCTCTTAGGTCACTGGGCAGACCAGTGACCCCAAAGATCAAGATGGGGCTTGCCCAGACCATGCAGGGAACACTTGAACCCCAATTTCTCCACAGAATGTCATGGCAGATGCTTGGGCAAGGATGAGCCATCCCCACTTGTGGTTCTGGAGCCCACTGGACCACACTTCTAGGATCTGTGTCAAGGGGAGTCTCTTCCTGAGCCACTTTGCTCATCTGTACAATAAAAGTATCAGAACTGGCCTTCAAGGGACTGGAGGGAAACTGGACTGATGAGAATGAGGCATGCAGGAGGTATGCAGGCCACATGCCCACAATGGGGTTCCAAAGCATAAAACTTGTTGGTGAACTTGAGGGGATGTCACAGGCAAGTCTAGATTTTTGGCTTTGTGGAAAATCTGGTAAAATTGAACCTCCTTTGCTCTTGCTCCAGAGTGATTCTGCATGCACCTAGGAAGGTTTTTCAGTTCAGGGGGAGATATGTTTTTGGCCTCTGGCCCTGGGGGGTAACCCTGAGGGGCTGTGAGGAATTACTGAGGGCCCCAGAGGGTCATGCATGACAGAAGACAGGGCAGGGACTTCCTGGTCCTTTAGCATCAGGGGAGAGAGTCACACCCAGAGGCCCCATCCTTGGGCATCCACCACCCAGTGAGAGCCCTGATGGGGGAGGGGGTGGGCAGCAGTCCTGTGGAGTTAGCCTTCTGCTGTCCTGACACAATATGATGACAGTCATGATGCGGTTGAGGGAGCCAGAGCTGCCAGAAGACTTGTCAGGAGGCCCTGGGATGCCATCTTTGAGCTGAGCCCCAAAGGTTGAGCAGGGTTTTGCCAGAAGTGAGTAGAGGGTTTGGTGTTGTAGGCAGAGAGAATGGTACAGTCAGAGGCTTGGTGGCTTCAAAATATGCAACTGGATTGTGACTGAAGGGTCACTTTCCAAGACTGCGGAGTGGGAAGGTTTTCTTACTGTGGGGCCTGGGGCAAGTCAGGTCACCTCTTGGAGCCTCAGATCTCACCCATAAAATAAGGCTGGTGGTGTCTGCCTCCCAGTGAAGGCTGGAGGATAGAAAGTGCCCTTAAAAACTCTGAACTCCCTCAGGCCAGGAGAGGAGTATTAAGGGATGGATTGTGACAGGGCTTTGTGCAAATGAAATGGCATGAAGTGAAGCTCAGGCTGCATCTAGCCCTGAGTTCAGAAGAGGGAGTTCAGTACAAGCTGGTGACTGACTTCACAGCTTCCTGTAGGAGGTAAGATGGGAGCAGAGCCTCAAAAGGCAGAAAAGAATAATGAATTGTTAGAAAGGAAGGGAAAGGGCGTCCCTGACAGGCAATCCAGCTGAAGGAAGACAGGAAGGTGACAGGCAGTCCAGCTGAAGGAAGACAGGAAGGTGGCAGGCAGGGAAGGCCAGAGGGAGTTCCATCATGGTTGTGGGAGAGGGCTGGGGAGAGGTGAACCTGAAAGGTTTGCTGGGGAAGCTTGGTAAGCATACCCCTAAAGACCAGGCAGTAGGGAGCCGTTGCAGGTTCTACCTCTACACAGGCAAGCAGGGGGTTGTCTTAACAATGCGGACACCTTCGAATGCGGAAAGGATTTCCTAATGGCTTTTGCATATTGAGAACAATAAAAGGTTGGAAGGGCTATAGGAGAAGGAAGAATTGATGATAAGGAAATGGTTAGAGAAAGCCATCACCCTGTACATCCCCATTTATTCTCATGCACACAGAGTGTTAACTGTTGTGGAGAGAATTTGGCTTTCCAGGTAACATCTGTAGGAATGCATCATAAACCTGATCTCCCATGCCTAGAGATCTGCAGACAACCCCTGAGTACCATCTTCACTCATTGTGTTGCTGGCTGCTCACCCATGATGCAGTATTAGATTGTTGCTGGTCTAATCAAAATAAGCATGTCAGTTCCCCATACTTATGGATTTTTCTATTGGATACCTTTCCTGAAGAGGGATTTCAGACCCTAAGGGAACAGAGTTTTTATGGCTTAAAGACTAAAAACATTCTCTTTGACAGTAACTTTCTTTAGACTTTTCAGTAGGTTATATTGTATAGGGTTTTTTTTTTTTAAGAGCAAATGTACAAAAGCATATGCAATAAAAAGTTTATCCTCCTGACCCAGTGCTCTCTTCCAGTTGTCCCTGAGGACAGTTGTCAATTCCTGTATATCTTTCCAGAAATAATCTATGCAGGTATTGTATATATCTAATTAAAAAAAAAAAAGATACATACTATTACACTCTGTTCAGCATCTTGCTTTCACTTTTTATTTTTAAATTTGGGATTATGAAATATACCAAAGCATAGAAAATGACACTATAACCACCACCCCCCACCCCGCACAGGTTTAGGAAATATTAACATCTTGCACTGGCATCTCTTTTAGGGCTGTCTTGGAGGTATCCCTATGTCCGTGAAGTTCATACACAGGAGTCTAGTTATTGATTATATGTATACACCATTCTTTATTGGGCCTGTACCCAGCTCTTGGATATTTAGGGTATTACTGACTTTTTTGCTTGATCAATATGGACGTAATACCTTACTTTGTATGTCTTCCCAGAGGGACATCGAGACAAAAGAGAAGAAGCTTAACTTTGGCTTAGGTTCAAGTACATGTTCAGCCACACTTCCCTAGCTGTGTGACCTGGAGTGGCACCCCTCCTGATTCTCTTTACCCGTCTGTAAAATGGGCAGGTTGTAGTAATCCCTCTGTCTCGTTGTTTGGAGGAGTACAGTAAAAAATATACTTTGTTGGGCTCCGTTCCCCAATCTCCGTAGGCAAGAAGCATTCCGAAGCCCAGCCTAGAGCGGAGAGCACTTAGAGCGCGACACGACTACTGCCCAAGCTTCAAACTGTTACCCGCGCCTTTCCCTCACCACGCTGGGGGCGGGGTGGTTAAAAAAATGCCTCTGTGACGTCAGTGCGCGCAGAGCCAATCCTGCTGCGGGGCAGGCGTTAACTTATTTACATGGCTTGCCCGCTATTGGTCTGTTGGGCAATCCAGGCTGTCCCAGTTTTTTAAAGCCTCCGCGTAGTATAAACAAGGAGAAGCGCGGAGGCCAGGCCATGATGTCATTTAAGTGCAGTAGCTCTTGGGGCTGACGTCATCTCCGGGGAGGTTGCCGGACCGGGGTTGTTAGGGCTTTCCGAACCACTCGGGCTGGTCTAAGAGGACGTCCCAGCCTGGTCGAAGGTCGGCCCCATTGCACTTCAGTGCCCCAAGCGGCGCCCCATCTCCAAGGAGGGGACCATGACACAGTAAGTCCGGGCTGCGGCTTTCCCAGAGGGACCCATTTCTGAAGCAGGGAAACTGAGCCTTCCAGGTGCGAGTGGTTCGTGAGTTTGCATAGCAAGTTCTATTTGCAGCTGATTGATCTTGCCCACCCCGGGGTCTCCCATCTTTAGGTTAGGCCATGGGGCCCCGCCCCTTGCCTATGATGGCTGCGGTCACTTTAAGTGAGAAGGTGGGGGCGAAGTTTTTTTTTTTTTTTTTAAATCTGCCTTCCAAGATGGCAGCCTACTAATCATGTGCCTAGTCGTGGCGAGTGATTGGTTCTCGGGGCCCCCGCAGGGCGGAGCTTTTGGCGCGGGGCGGGGCTGCCGCGGGCAGCTGCCGGCTACTGTTTGCCGGAACCTCCCGGCGCGCCCCCGCGAGGCCCCTCCCGCCCGGCGCGCGACCCCGCCGCTCCGAATGTTGTGAATCAAATGTGGGGTTTGTTACATTCCGCTGGCGCCGCGGACAGTTCTTAAAGGGCCAGCCGCAAGCAGCTGCGCAAACCCAGCCGCGTCCTGCGCCGCCTCCCGCTCCCGGAGGGCCTGGGCCGAAAGAGGCTGACCGCGCGTGGGCCTCGCAAGGCAGACGCCGGCAGACAAAGAGGGCCCCGGAAGGAGCCGCACTGCCCCTGGACCAGGGGGAGGGAAGGGAGCATATTGTTCCGCAGGGCGGGGGCTCTTAAAGGGTCCAGGCAGCACCCCCCACCCTACCCCCTTGCCCAGGTTGGCCGTCCTAGTTCCGGAACAAAGGAATCAACGTGTGGCCAGCGGCTGAAGGTGAGTCGGGGCCACAGCCCCCAACTCCTAATTTCCGCATCCTTGGAAACTCCTGCCCCCCTCCCCTGGGACTGGGGGCTGTATATAGCTGGCTCCGCAGGGGTTAATCACGGGCGGTCCGGAGGGAGACGGCGAGACCTCTAGGCTCAGAGACACCCCCCTCCCTGCGCCCCCCAAGGCCAGGACGAGTCTCCCTTCTCCCGAGGCTGAGCGCTGCGGTTGGAGAGGAAGGAGCCGCCCCCTCCCCCTGCCGCCGCCACTTCCTTTGTTGTTGCTTTTGTCTCACGCCGAGCACATGGTCCGGGATCCTCCGCTCTTAAAGTCACAGCGTTCTTGCCCAGACGCCGCAGTCTGGCCTCCCGCCCCTCCCGTCTCTCCGAGCGTGTCATAAAGGAGTGAGAAGGGGATGAGGGAGGCCCCCCTCTGGGCGTGTGTCCGCATATCGGCCTTCCGTCCCCATCCAGTCCCCGGAGAGAGATGGCTAAGGAAGCTTCCCGGAGCCCCGCAACCTGTACCTGGCCTGCGTTGAGGAGGGGCCTGCCCCTCAGGGACACTGGTCTCCTACCCCGCTAATGTGACCATCTGGTTTCTTGCTTCTTGTCTCTTCTGGTTTTACTTGGGCGCTCTGGGAAGGAGAGATTTCCATCCCCATTTTACAGTTGTGGTAACTGAGGCTCAGAGAAACGGAGAGATTTCCTTGACCAAGGTCACTCAGGGAGTCGGGGCTGGCCAAAGACTCTAAGTTCCAGGCCTGGCTGGCGGTCCTGCCCCTCAACCACCTCCAGGCACTTCACGTGGGGGAGCTCTACTTGCCCACCAGACAGTGCTGGGCCTGGGGGTGGGAGGAGGTAGGGAAGGGGCTTCTCATCCCGCTGAGTCTGCTCATGCTCTCAGAGGCTGGCTTTGTTTATCTGTAGCAGCCCCTTGTTCCTGCAAACAGCCCCTGGGCCCAAGTGAGGAGAATGGACTGGCTTCTGAGACCTGGGTGGGAGTAGCTGCTGGGGCACTGAAAATAGGAACTTGGCTGCCTCCTGGGGGAGGGCGTGGATGCAAAGTGTCACCGTGTCTGTTTCAGGCAAGGTTGGTTTTAGGGATGAGATCCTCAAGACTCTTCGTATAGACCTCATTGAGAACACAGCACAGAGGAGTGTGGAAGGCAGAGCAGTTAGGAGGTGGCTACTCTTGCTATTTGACCTTGAGCAAGTTGCTACCTCTAAGAGCCTCCTTCGCTTCTCTCCACAATAGGACCAGTCACAGGCACCTTAGGGAAAACTGATCTCCTGATCTCCTTTAGGGCCTGGAATAGAGTTGGGATTAGGCAGTTCTTGGGGTTACTCATGCTAGTGAGAGAGTCAGGAGTTAGGGGAATCTGGGTGCAGGGGGACAGTCAGGACCAGTTTTGTCTGTCTCTGGCAGTGTGACCTAGAGCAAGTTACTTCCTTTCTTTGGGTCTCGGTTTCCTCACCTTTGAAGTGGGTGTGTTCCTTCTTTACCACCTCTGTTCCTAGTGGGACTTCAGGAATCAGGGACCCCTTCCTTGCCAACTAGGGTATCCCCTAGGGAGGCATATCTCTCAGCTGCCTCCTGCCTGGCTTGAAGTGGCCCCTGATTTCTGCTTGGGGGTGGGGGTGGAGAGCAGCCTCTTTTACTCTCTAATAGGGATCATTTATACCTAAGCTTTACAGACCACTCCTGCTGTGGCTTGTGAGAAGCCCTCACCAGTACACTGGGAGGTGGTCTTTGGCCTGTTCCCATTTGACAGATGAAGAAGCTGAGGCTCAGAAAAGGGAAATAATATGCCCAAGACTCTGGCCATCTCTGAGCCTCAGGGTCCCTGCTTCCAAGGGTCACTATGAGGACTCATTGAGATGGCACATGGGAAGTACTGTAGTTATTATTAATATTCCTCGGCAGAACTCTGAGTTCTCAGGATCTCTGAGGCCACTTACAGCAGAGGTTCCCAAACTTGGCTGTGCTATAGAAATTTCTGAAGTATTCGATAAAAATCTAGGTGCCCTTTTCCCCTAACCCTCCAAAGAGTCTGATCCAGGAGGTCTGGGGTGGACAAGGGATCTGCTGTTGCAGTTATTTGAAGGTTTCCTCTGAGTCTCTCTTGGCCTTTGCTTGCTAGGTTGGATTGCCAGCAGGAATCAGGGAGGTTTGTACACAACTGTGTAAGGATATGCACTTGGCCCACACCAGGGGTCACAAACCCAGTCATCTATGGTGGGCAGGTGAGGAATGGGCCTGGGATGGTCATGCACTGAGTGAAGGGGGTCCAGGGAGAGTGACAGCCCAGTGGAACCAGATTTTCTGCTCTCCCCACCTGTTCCCCCAAGAAGAAGCCAGATTTGTAGTCATCCCAATTCTGAATTAGTACTAACTTCACTGCTGCCATACTGTGGCCTTGGCTCTGCAATCACCTCTCCAGCGTGCATTACCATCGGTCCTGCCCTAGGCTGGATATAAGCTGGTCCCGGGCCCTGCCCACCCACTGCCTAGTGCCAGAGCCTGCACTGGATAGGAGAGGTGTGAATTCCAACTCTTCCACTTCCTGACTGGCCTTGATGGGGCTCCGTCCTGTCAGCTGGAGAAGAATCTCTAACGCTCGTTTTTTGAGTTAGGGACAAAGCTTTAAAGACAAGCACAAAGGAAATGTTCTTGCCACTGTTGGCAGGAAGGAACGAGGTATTGAGGGGACAGTACACTGGCCCCCTGGCTGTGTCAACAGGGATGCAACACTTAAAGCTGGGCATCAAGGATGCATAGATGTTTCGTCAGATGGAGAAGGGACTGGGGCGGAGGGTTGCTCCCTGTGGTAGGAACAGCAAAGAGCTGGTCCTATTTGAAGCATCCTTCAGCTTTGCAGGGCCTGACTTGTTCCAGAGCTTTCCTGGTAGTGGGGGCCTCATCCCAACTTCTGGAGTTAATGAGCGATCCCCCTAACTTTTCCCACCTGGACCCCCAGCTCCCAGGGAGGAAGGAGACCTGCCCCACCCCATTCCCATTCAACTTCCTCCCTTAGGTTCTAGCTTCCCCTTTTTTCTCAGCAAGCCCCACCTCCCACTTGAGAGCTGTGTGGGGCCCCCAGAACAAGGGCCTGGCCGCATTCCAGACCCACCCCACCAACCATGGTAGCTGGCTTCCTTCATCACCTCCTGGGAAAGCCCTTGGGTTGGACTCCTCCCAATGGCAGCAGGGTCCAGTGGGAAGCTTGTGGTCAGCACACCTGCTAGCTTTGACACTTGGGCAAGTTCCAGTCTCTCTGAGCCTCAGTTTTCTCTTCTGTAAAATGGAGTTGACAGTACTATCTTTGAAGAGTAGATGAAGTCATTCATAGGAAGGCACTGTGGGATGGGTTATGGAAAGAAACAAAACTAGCTTGCCTTGGAACGGGGGTGCCCAAGGGCGGGAACTGGGTCAGAACTTCTTACCTGGCAATAGTGGAAGGAGAACTGGGCTCCAAACTTCATTGAAATCCCCCTCGGGCTAGTCAGATAGAAGGGAAGAAGCAAGAGTTCCCCCAGGGACCCCACACCAAGTTTGCCTGACTGGAGTCACCTGGCCCAGAAGCATGCTGGCCAGCCCTTTGAAACCACCACAACCCTGAGGGGCAGTGTAGTCCCATTTTACAGAGCAGAAAACAGGCCTGGGCTCCCTGCAGGCCGGGCCTATCCCTTGTCTCAGCACTGAGCCCCAGCGCTAAGTAGAGGGCCAGAACCACAGCACATGTGCATGGGGAGCAGGGGCACGGTGGACATCGGCAGGCCCTGGAATCAGACTGCAGAGATTTGATTCTGTCTTCCAGACCCCTCGTGGAGCGAGTGACTATACTGTTCTGTGCCTCAGTTTCTTTGTCTGTTTGACTCCTAGGGTTGTGAGCCCTAGCCCAGCCCCTCCGCCCCTCTGCCACCCCTGATGCGACCATGGGCTCTCGCAGTGACTAGGTGGCCACCCTCTGCCCCTGTGGGTCAGTGGCGATTGTCTGCAGGACCCAGCAGCACCCCGGGCCAGCTCCAGGGAAGGTAGGAAGGATCCTCCCAGTCCTGCGGACCCCAGAGCCCCTGGTGTCAGGGCTGTCAGCTTGGGCCTGGAGCACAGGAGCAAGGGGTGGTGGGCACAGGGCCCTGAGCTATCTTCCTTCTCCAGTGGGTAGTGACCTTGGCTTCTCTCCATGCTCTGTGAATGAGTGGCCCCCTCAGTCCTACCGGGGCCTCCTCTCTGTGGTGCAGCCCCGGCCACGAGGGCCGCCCGCCTGCCCAGGATGAGCGCTTACCCTCCCAGCAGCCGCCGCCCCGACCGCCACACCTCCCCGTAGAGGAGCGCCGAGCTTCGGCTCCTGCCGGCGGGAGCCCCCGAATGCTGCACCCAGCCTCCCAACAGAGCCCATTCATGGTTGATCTCCACGAGCAGGTAGGTAGAACACCCCCACCCTGCCCCCCAGCCTCTGGCAAGCCTGTCTGCAAAGCAGAAGTGGCAGAGCCCATTATTAGCCCTGCTTTACAGGCTGGTAGATTGAGGCCCAGAGAAGGGAAGGGCCTGCCCTGGGACCACACAGTAGATGAGTGGTAGAGCTAGAAGCCCCTTCCAGGTTCCCAGAGGGTTATCTTTGCCCTCTGGGGCCTGGGACAGGCAAGAACCACCAGGTCTGTATCTAGGTAGGCCCCAGCTAGAGGAAGGAGGGGACTTTCTCACCTGGTGGCCAAGCTTCCTCCCTACATTTCCCGGGCCTTTCTCCACCCACAGGTGCACCAGGGACCCGTCCCTCTATCCTACACAGTCACTACAGTGACGACCCAAGGCTTCCCCTTGCCTTCAGGCCAGCACATCCCTGGCTGCAGTGCCCAACAGCTCCCAGCATGCTCCGTGATGTTCAGCGGGCAGCACTACCCGCTCTGCTGCCTCCCGCCCCCGGTGAGTGAGGGCCTCTGCCTCCCACCCACCCTCATGCTCTCCCACCCCTATCTCCACTGAAAGGCCCTGCACAGGCCAACGGCAGAACTGCCAAGCCTACGCCAGTCGTCTGGGCTGTTGGAGTGCCACCCAGCTCCAGGCTGCAGCCCTGCCCAGAAAAGCATGTGTTCATGTGCTGTAAGAGAGCTTCTCAGGGGTCAGGACCTCCCTGCACCCAGTGCCTGTCTTAGGGTTTGGGGTGGTAATTGCGCCTTAAGAGTGTAGTGTCCTGCCTGGGTGGCCTAAGCCAGGGATGGGACTGTCCAGAGGGCTTCAGTGGGGACTTCTTGCTGGATAGGATGACCCCTGGCCCTCATCACAAGCACAACCCCAGCCCAGACCCCAGAAGAACATTCTTCAGCCCCCTGCCTCCTCTCTCGTCAGCTGATCCAGGCGTGTACCATGCAGCAGCTCCCCGTGCCCTACCAGGCCTACCCCCACCTCATCTCCAGTGACCACTACATCCTACACCCCCCACCGCCAGCCCCACACCCCCAGCCTGCCCACATGGCACCGCTTGGGCAGTTCATATCGCTGCAGACCCAGCACCCGCGAATGGTGAGTCTGGGCAGTAGAGCCAATGCTGGAGGGGATGCTATTGGGGGCAGGGGCTTCCCTGTCTTTGATTCCAAAAGACCCACCCCTGCCTTTTCCAGCCCCTGCAGCGGCTGGACAATGATGTGGACCTACGGGGGGACCAGCACCCTTTGGGGAGCTTCACCTACTCCACCTCTGCCCCAGGCCCGGCCCTGTCCCCATCCATGCCCCTGCACTACCTGCCCCATGATCCCCTGCACCAGGAACTGTCCTTCGGTGTGGTGAGTGCCTCCCAACCCAGGGTCTGGGGCAGTGAGAGGTGGCCCAGTTGGCTAACCTGTCCCTGCCCGCATCCCACAGCCCTATTCCCACATGATGCCAAGGAGACTGAGCACCCAGAGATACCGCCTGCAACAGCCACTTCCCCCGCCGCCCCCACCGCCACCCCCACCACCGTATTACCCCAGCTTCCTGCCCTACTTCCTGTAAGTACCAGCACATCTGCCCCAGAGCCATGCTGCTCTATTCTCCTGGGGCCTCCAATGGTTAGACCCAAACACAGTCGGTGGTGTCCAGGGGACTCTCAGGCCATCTGGCACCCCCAGCAGACACACGCATGCGCATGCACACACACAAACCGCCCCACACACATTCTCTCTCTCTCTCTCTCTCTCTCTCTCTTTCTCTCTCTCGTTCTCTCTTTCTCTCTCTCAAGCCCCCACCCCCGCCCCAGTTCCTCCCTCCTTTCTTCCCACCAACTGGGCTCTTCCCTCCTATAAGGTCCTTGGACAAACACTGAGGCCCCAGTGTGAACAGTGCAGAACTCTGGGCTTTGTTTCATGGAGGGAGTTGGGAGCAGCTCTGTGCCCTCACCCCTACTGACCTTGACCCTGGTCCCCCGTACCTATCTCCCCTAGCTCAATGCTGCCAATGTCACCAACAGCAGTGGGGCCAACCATCAGCCTGGATCTCGATGTGGATGATGTGGAGATGGAGAACTATGAGGTCCCATGGAGCCCTATCCTGGGAGGTGAGGGCTAGGGGGGCCTCTGGCCTTGGCCACTGCTGACTCGCCCTCCTGCCTGTATATAGGCCCTCCTGAGTCTGGCGGAGCGGCTGGGAGACGCCAAGCCCCGAGGCCTCACCAAAGCGGACATTGAGCAGCTTCCGGCCTACCGATTTAACCCGGACAGCCATCAGTCCGAGCAGACACTGTGAGTGCCGTGCCCCCGTCTCCTGCCCTCTGTTCACAGACGGGCTGCATGGGGGCCCCGTCCTGAGGAGTGGCCTTGTACTCTGCAATGAGCCTTTCCTCGGCCATCATCATGGAGGTGACACTCTGCCCTCCTCCCAGGTGTGTCGTCTGCTTCAGTGACTTTGAGGCGCGGCAGCTGCTCCGAGTCCTCCCCTGCAATCACGAGTTCCACACCAAGTGTGTCGACAAGTGGTTGAAGGTAACAGCCCAAGCCGCTCGCTCCCCAGTGTTCCTTGTGTGGTGAGGGAGGCGGGTGAGCTGGGGCTTCCCTTCTTTGTCATCATCCAGAAGTTCTGGCTGTATTCACGGGACCAAGTCCCCACCAGGCAGCGGAACAGACTTGGAGGGGATAGGAGACAAATGAGAGTGGGGCTTCATGTGCGGCTGCTCTCCCCAGGCCAACCGGACGTGTCCCATTTGCCGGGCTGACGCCTCCGAGGTGCCCAGGGAGGCCGAATGAGGCCCACAGCTGCCCAGGAGAACCCTGCCCGAAGCTCTGGAAACCTCCCCAACCCAGGGAGGATGGGGAAGGAATGGCCCAGTCTTACCCTGCCATTCCCACCTGCATCTCCAGAACTGGTGCCAGGGTCAGGCCTGAGAGAAGCCCCTGCAATAAGCCCCCTGCATTTGCCAAGCTCCAAAGACCCCTTCCCCAGCCTGCCTGCCAGTCCACCTGCCACAGAGCTGCCTGAGTATCCCTGATTCTGTCTCCCTCCTGTTTGCCCTCGGGTCCGTCTCCTTTTTCCTACTGGCACTGGGAGCTAGGGGTTTGTTTCCCCAGCACAGCTGGCGGAGACCCTTGGCCCCAGGTGGCATTGACAAGCATGGACACGTGGTGGTCTGAGGCCATTTCCTGAACCCCAGGCCTAGGTCCTCCTGCCTTCACCGCAGTCAGACTCACAGCCAGCTCAGCCAGCTGGCTGTGAGGGGTGGCTCTGGCCCTCGCCCCAGGGACAACATTCCAGCCCCACCCCCAGGCTGGAGGGCATCAGAGCCAGCCTCCCTTGCAGAAAGGAGACAGGGCCCGGGTCACGCCTGGGAGAGGGACCTCCGGTGTTCTGGTGGCCACCCCTCTCTGGCAGTGATGGGGGCTGGGCGCTCATGCCCATCTCCCTGCTCTGTCCTTCTGCATGAACGTGAGGAGCAGCAGTTTTTATTTATTCATTTGGCCCAAGATTGCGTACAGGATTTGGGGGGTAGATTTTTAAACAGTTTGTTTTCTTTTCATTAAATGGGAGGTATAGGGACCAACTAGGACCCAGTGCCCAGGGGACAGGAAATGGTCCAGTGGTGCCGCCCGGTCCACATGCATGTGCGCGGCTGGGGCTGGGCCGGGTGGCTGGCGGTCATGGGCGAGGGTAGGGGGTATGTGCTCAGCCGATAACTGCCATGCACTGTACTGCACACGTCCCCAGAGCCTACCGGGACCGTACGCTTTTCAGGGCATTTCTCCCTCCAGCCAGGGCCCGTCTCCCACCTGCCTGGGCAAGTCTCCTCCAAGGAAGTCCCAGGAGGACAGGGACCAGGGAGGGTCTGGGCCCCACTTCCAGAGGCCCCCCGCCCTCACCCTTCTGGTCCCTTTCCTGTCCTATCCCCAGCTGGGGTTGCTGCCCCGAACGAACCGCGTGTGGGGCCGGCACATCCTAGCAGGCAGCCCCTGGCGCCTGCTGCCTCAGGGATGCTCCAACCACCCTCGTTCTCCTGGCAGCGGCCCTGGCTCCCACCTCCCCCAGCCTGCCATGGGGCCCCATCAGCCTGGCCCCACCCCCATGGAGAACCCAAAGTCTTACTGTATATAACTCCAGGTGACGTTTCTATATTTATAGCAGTGTTGAAACCCCACGTGTTTTACACAGAACCATCCTCTCCGACCCCTCCCTTACCCACCCAACAAAAGGTTTTCAAAACCCTCCAGTTCCTGGGGCAGGCGAACAGGCTCGGATTGTGTCGGCTGCAGCAGTGGTTCCAACCAGCAGCTACTGGGGGCGGGGGGGAACAACATTAAAAAAAAAATCATTAAAAAAATTTATAAAACAATTATTTAGGATGTTTGTGATTTGCCGACCTTGCTATAGATGCCATATTACCAATGATTTCCTGTGGTGGGGGCTTGTTATTGTTTACTCTTATTTACCAACTTCTGGCCTAGGCATGACAGTGGGCAGCATCCCCCAGCCTGGCTGGGCCCAGCACCTGTGTTCTGTGTTAGAAAGGTTTTATATATATATGTAACTACATATATATATAAATATATGTAATTGGGGGGACCCTGTTCCTTGCACATTTTACAGTTACCTCATTTTTCCCATGTATGTATTTGAGAAAATGCTAATATATAGAGAAAAAAATGGTTCTTAAAGCTTAAATGTGTGGTTTTTTCCATTCCATTGGATTCACATTGGTTTGTAGCATTTAACATAACTAGTATGTTGTATTATATATATGTGTATACTGATTGAAATTTTTAACAGATTTGTACTTTTTTTAAAATGAAAGTTGCTAGTTCTGCTTGACCAAGTAGTGCAATCATTATTTTTTTTAATATTGTTGCTGATTTCAGAGGGATATTCACTAATAAATGTATGATGTATATCAAGTATTGCCCAAGCTGCCTTTGTGCCTGTGTTCTTTTGGTGGGGGTGGGGGGCGTCAGTCTCAGAGTGAGCAGGGGACGGGGATGAGGGAGGTGGGCAGGGGAGATGGTTGGCCGTAGACCCTTAAGGGCACCTCCTGATGGAGACAGGTCTGCCAAGCCCCATTCACTGATAACTTCCTCTGCTCCACATGCAAATGAGACAGGATTCTGTTGGCAAGTGATGGGATTTCATCTAACTGGCTTGAAGAAATAATCACTTACTGGTCTGTCATTAAATTTTGGAGGTAGGTTCTTCAAGTATAACTGGTGGGAACCACAGACTCCATCTTACAACTTTGTTTTGAAGGAGCTCTTTCTGTGTGGTTCTTGGCAGCTCCAGCTCAGTTTTCTATAGTCTGCTCTCCATGGGAAAACCATTTTTCCTGGGAATTCTAACAATTTCTGGAATGGAGTCTTGTTACACCAGCTTGGGTTGTGTGCCTATCCCCGAACTCTGCTACTGGCAGGGAGCTACAGCACCGTGTTTGGCCTGGCCTGTGTTACACAGCCACCCACTCTAACCTGACCCCACTGAGACTTTGTGGACTGGAACCCCTCATTCCCAGGCTAAGGGGACAAAGGGCCTGGGAGCTACCAAAGGGATCAGATTGGTGGTGATGTATTCCTCTTATCCCTATGGTCTTTGGTTTTGCAGGGATGTCGGCTGACCTGTTAGCCTGTCAAAGCAGCATGGTCTGGGGCTCAGAAGACCTGAGACCTTGTGTCTGTGATGCCACTATCCGTAGCTTTCCTTAGTCAGAACTTCTCTGTTGGCCTTTGGCTCAAATGCAAATTAGGGACAGAATCAGTTGAGTGATTCCTTAAATGTGTTTCAGAGAAAGTCCCATGGGAGCATCATGGGGTTTGTACAAAAAAAGGCTCTGTGTTGAAATAAGTTTGGGGAATCCCACGTCAAAGGTAATAAGCCTATATTTCGGGGGTTTTCTGAGCCTTGGCTCTGCCAACGTGTGTTGTAAATCTCAGAGTGGATTTTCATATGGCTACACACAGCCAAGCCACCTTCTCTGGAGCACACTGGGACACAGTAGATGAGAGTGGAGGTAGCAACTGAGTTCCCTGGGCCTTAGTGTGAAAAAATTGTCAGGCGGGGAAGTTTCTAAGCTTTTTTTTTAGTATTTCAGGAAGCCTATAGGAAAGAAAAATCACATGAGCATATCAATTGATACAAAAGAAAATTGTCCAAATTCATTCATGATAAAAACTCAGCAAGCAAAGGATAGCGGGTATCTAACTCAACTTGATACAGAGCATCTACAAAAAAACCCTACAGCTAACGTCATACTTGTGTGAAAGACGATGCTCCCCACCAGCCCTGCCAGGAGAAAAGCATTCTAAAGGGAGGGAACAGAATGTGCAAAGGCCCAGAGGCAAAGATGCATTTGAGCAAGAGCACAGGAAGAAGTTGGAGAGGAGAACAGAGGCCGGGTCCCAGGGGCCTTATACACCGTAGTGAAAGATTCATCTGCTCTCCAACACTCTGAGTGGAGGTGTATGTCCTACTCTCGGTTTCCACTTAGAGGAACTGAGGCTCTGAGAGGCCTAGGTAGAAAATGGAAGAATCAGGAGAGCCCTGTAGTCTCTCCGCCCCTGCATTCTCCAAGTCAGAGACTCTGGTTTTGGAAAACCTTGGAGGAGGCCTCCCTTAGCTCTCTGCTTCTCCCTACTCCAGGTGCCAGGCGGGCCCTTCCCCACTGCCACCTATAGCTTCCTGAGCACCAGAGGCCGGGGAAGTCCTCTGTTCTTGCGGGGCTGGCAGCCAGCCACTCCAGAAAGAGTTTGGTTTGTTTTTCCTTTTCCTTTTTTTATGAAATCAGACTGATTTCAGCCCCAAATATAAATCTTCTATGTCATTTCAGAGGAAGATGGATGATGTCAAAAGAAATGGGTTTCCATGCTGGTCTTTCTCTGGTCTCCCCTGTTTTCTCTGGCTCCCCTTTGGGAGGGGATGGAGGCAGTGGAAAAACCAGTATCTCATCTCCAGCAAGTCTCACTCTTGTCAGCCCCCACCTCGCCCTCTTCCCCTCCAGCCACCTGCAGGTGCTCGTGGTTTTCACCCGTGTTATGTTGTGTGTTCCCTCTGCTTGGATGACCACTTGCATTTCATGAGTGCCCACCATGCTGCAGTTACCCTCACAGGCAGTCCAACTGTGACTGCCTTCCTCATAGAGGCCACTGAGGAAACAGAGGCCTGAGGCTCAGAGATGAATTTCATCCGCCCCACCCCCTTGGCCCTGAACAACTTCTCTCCTCCTGGTAAGCAGACTCCATTTCCAAAGCCTAAGTCCGATGTCCCCACCTTAGTGAACTTCCCTGGCCCCCTCCCTCTGCTCTGGCTTCCACAGCACACCACGCGGCTGGCTCTTCCCCCACACATCTCACCTGTTATGATCGGTGCTGCTGGTCGCCCAGGTCTCTGCTTCACTAGACCAAGGGCCATCACATTCGCCACACGCCCAGATCATAACAAAAGGGCAAGGACACAGTAGGCATCGGTATTTTCCGAATAGATAATTGAATAAATGAACGTGGGAGTGAGCTGCTGGGAAGGAAAGCGTGTGGGAAGATGACCCAGTCCCAGGGCCCAGCTGATCTTCCATGGGCCTGCCCTCTCTTTCCAGTGTCCCAGCACAGTGAAATTAACTGTTACGTGTCCCATTTCCTATTATTCTTTCATATGATGATGACCCCTCATGACCCGCCCCCACAGCCTCTGCAGTTCTGGCAAGCTGAGACAAACCTGCCAGCCTCTGCTGTTGTTTCCACCTCAGAAACAGCCTCTGCAGAAGAGAGCATGCTGTTGGAAAGCCCTCCTGACAACAGAGGGTCAACAGTCGCCTGTCGCCTAAGGGGCCCGGCACCCAGCCCAGCTCAGCCAGAAATCAGTCACATCTGCTGAGCATGAACGGAATTGTTTTTGCAAATGTATAAACATTGTATGTGATTTTAACCAAAGTATGTCCGGAGGGAAAAAAAAGCTGGAAGCAAATATGCAAACTATTAATCATTTCAGGTGGTGGGAATGTGAATAATGGTTATTTTTTTCTTTAAACTTTTCTGCAATTTTTAAAAAGGGCTCTGCCCCACTGTATGGGGTGCAACTAAGCACAGAAACCCCAATCTGCTCAGCAGTTATACTCCGCCATCCCAAAGGTGCCGTCTGCCTCTGACAACACCCTTCCCACAGCTGTCTGGACCCACCCTTTCTGAAACCTGAACCCCACCCTTTCTGAGATCTGGCTTTCAATTCTGGGACCTACCCCATCTTCCACCACAACCGTTTTTTTCTTAAATAAGCTAGAGTGGGTTTCTTGTTTGCTGCTCGCCAACTAAAGCCCTCTGATAAAGGCACCAAAAGGCAAGAGCTATGTGAGAACATCAGGTGTGTTGTGGGGCTTGGGTGTCTAAATTGGCACACCACACCAAGTGTGACTCTATCTGCTCTCCTGGCCAGTACCTGGGTTATAACAAAGCCAGAGTTAAACCAGTCTTATATGCAATTCTGGAAGACTAGAATCATGTGGTGTAGGCACTAGCTCTGTCGGCACTAGCTTTAGGTAGGAAAGCACATGGTGTATCTCTGGGACAACCAAGAGATCCATGTGGATCATGTGGAGAGAGAGAAAAATGAAGCTATGGCTTCTAGGACGGGGAGTTGGACAAAGGGGGCACTGAGAGCTTCTGAATGACAGCATGTAACCTCTGTTTTCAGAAAGAAATTGGCAGCAGTGAGGAAGGTAGACTGGTGACAAGTGGCTGACAAGTGGGTGCCTACCTCCACCGCTTATTCTGGTCTCAATCTCACCTGGACCCTCAGTTGCCCTGAAAGCCTTCCTACACTCTCTCCTGCTCTCTAAAACAGCTATTTCAAACCTTCTCAGTCTTCTCAGACCTCTCGGCCCATCTTCTCCCAGGAACCTGACAGAGAGAACAGACACCATCACACAGGAACACCCTCAACCCTGTGCCTTCGAACCTACAAATGCATTGACTTCTGCTGCTATCCTTCTCCTAAGGCCCTGCCCCTCCCAGCACCCCAGTGACATCTATCTCTAGGATAGATGCATCTTCAACCTTGAACCTTTCTCTAAAATTTCATTGTTTTTAGTATGTAGGCATACTAAAGTCTTGTCCAGCCTTAAAACTAGTAAGTATTCTTCCTCACCTCTGGCCCCTCTGCTTGTCCAATGTTCCCCGTACCTTTCACTGACAGATTTTGTGAGGGCTGTGTATATCCAACCTTTTCACTTCCCCTCCCATTTCTTTCCTTGTGACTTCTGAAATAGCACCAGTCAAGATCACCAGTGACTGTCTTTGTTCCTAAAACAGTTGTCAGAAACCTGGGTACCATCCCCAATTTCTCCTTCCTTCTCTATATCTAATCAGCCTCCAAGTCTCAGGCATGTGCCTTCTAAATAGCGCTCCATCCCTTGCCACTCCTAATCCATGACTCCATCGTGTCACCTTAGTCTTGCCTGCTGTCTTGCCCCCTCCCACCCAGTCTCCTCAGAGGTGACAGATCTGTTCAGAAACCCAAATCTGATATGTCTCCCTTGCTTAAAGACCTTTAGGATAAAGTGTACATTCCTTAACCTAGTTCACATAATCTGACCCCAACCTGTAGGAAAAGAAACAGGGGTACGCTTATTGTATATCAGGTGTCAGCTGGGAACTTAATTCAGAAAGGTCTTCCAAGAGGCCAATGAAAATTGTAATTGGGGCTCACAGATGACTATGCAGCTCTCACAAAATCTCAGTGAAAGGTACGGGGGCACATGGGACAAGCCAGAGGAGCCAGAATTGAGGAAGGATATTTATTAGTTTTAAGGCTGGACAAGACTTTATTGACAGTGGAGATGAAAGTACAATTAACAGGAGGTTAAGAGGGAGGTGGAACCTGGTTGTGCAAGCTATCTTGGCAGGGAAGGAGACAGGGCAGTGACTTGTGGGTAAGGCAAGATTAAGGTTTTGTAAGGGAGGAAACACCAAACATTTTTAGATGGAAGATAGAGAGATCTAAGCAATTGAAAAGGGGATAATTGTTGGTAAAGGTTTTGGAGATGGCAGATTTGGGAGACTGCACACTGCTGGTATGAGTATAATTTTCTGGACAATTTGGAGATAACACAAACATTTAAAATAGTAAAACTTTCCATTCCTTTTTTTTTCTTTCCATTCCTTTTTTGACTCAGCAACTTCAAATTTAGGATTTTTTTTTTTCCTAATAAGCGTGGATGTGCACATTTAGCTGCAGGGATGTTTATCAACCTGCTATGCAGAAAACAAACAAAAAAAGTTAAATGATCTAAATGTCACAAGAGGATTTTGATCAATTTATGGTATATCCATTTAATGTAATGCTGCATAGCCATTAAAATATATATATAAATCTGTGAAAGAGATCATATAGTATTTACCATATTATCCCATTTCTGTAGAAAAAAAAGTTTTTATATGCAATGAAAAGTTTGGGAAGAACTACATCAGAATATTAACCATGGCCATCTCTGGACAGTGTGGCATTATGATTTTTTTTGTTGTTTCTTCATGAATAGTAATTAAACTTGAATCAGGAAAACAATTTATAAAATCATACACATATACATAGCGAGTCCATTTATATGCAGCTTAAGAATAGGCAGAACTTCTGTGGTAAAAGAGGGCAGAATAGTGGCTCTGAGAAGCTAGTGACCAGGAATATGTATGAGGGAACTTTCTGGGTTGAAGTTTTCTGTATCTTGGTTTTGGGGTATACACAGGCAAAGTTTTATCAAGCTGTGGAGATTTGGGCATTTTACTGTATGTAAATTATATCTTTTAAAAGAAAATACACCCACAAGACAAGAGAAAGAGGAAGCAGGTGACATCACAGAACAATTCTGAGGTGAAAAAGGAAGTCTTGTGACGAGACCTCAATTTTCTCAGGAAGTAGGCTTGTAGTAATGGGCTTGGTGTGAGGCACAGGTGGGCTCAGACCTGAGAAAGGGGGGGATGCAGGCGTGGTGCCTATGTGGTAGACCAAGCAGGGAGTCCCCCAGAGGTGGAGCAAAGGAGTGGGTGCCAAACCAGGGCTCAGCTCACTGTGATAGGTGTTAGGTGGCTGCAGCTAAAGGAGCAAGAGGAAAGAAATCAAATGGTTGACTTCAAGAAGTGATCCTGAGTACTGGCTCGTAGCAGAGGGGCATGAAGCCAAGATAATTCCGGTAGGGAGGACGAAGACAAGCAGGGAGGAACAGAAAGGTGAGGGCAGAGAAGGGACACTGAGGTTGGAGCAATCAAGTTTGTGGTCAGAGAGGCTGGTCCTTGGGATGAAGAAGTGAAGACCATGCTCACTTAAGGCATGGCATCACTGGGAGGGATGGGGGGAAGGAAGCGAACATTTGCTAAGCACCCATCCACCCACCACCAGGCACGTCACAGGTTGTCAGCTCGCTTAAGGGCAACTGAACCTTGCAAGGATGTATTGCATGATGTTTGTAGATGATGAAACTTGCCCTCATCAGTCAGCAAGCAGCAGAGCAGTTTCAAAGCCAGATTTGACTCCAAAGCCTCTTTCTATCACACTCAGCTGCCACAGTCAAAACAGGAACAGTAGGACCGGTTCAGCGAACCATATATGATGTGAGTCACCTTGGTTGCTGGTGGAGAGGACAGTATCAGTTGCCAACATGTGGAGAATGGCCAGTAGCAACCAGAACTGGACAGTCTAAGCAGATGGCACGTGCTTCAGCAGCACTGTCAAGGACAGTGCATCAAAGTGGCCTGAGAGAAATGCAGATCCTGCCTCTTGGTGCCAAAACTCATGGGAAAATGAGCAGTATCTACTTAAAGGGTTTTTAAAGTAGTATCTTCAGGGGAAAACCAGGTTTCAGTTTAAAGGGAAGAAACCTGGTTATTCTGGGCCCCACTCTGAGAGTTAGCAAGAGGAGCAGCCAGGAGAGGGGTTGGGTTGGGGGGTGGGAGAGGCTAGGCACTGTCAGCTGGGCTCACAGGCCATGAAGAAGGGACTATGGGGGTTAAGGGCCCCATGTGGTAAAAGTACACATGGAGTTCTAACTGCAATGCGAGAGGCAAGTGTCCTACATGATCTGTCCCTAAGCAAAGCCTCAACTGAAACTCCTCCCCTTCTTTTCCTCCCGTTAGTCACATCTAGGGTGAACCTTTAGTGGGCAAACTAAAACTGTTTTTGAAACAGTAATAGGAGCTATCATTTACCCAACACCTGTGTCCCAGGCACTCTGTAGCAGTTCACTGAATCTTCAATAGCAATGCTACAATCAGCTCTATTTTACAGATAACACTGAAGCCTAGAGTTGAGGTCACTTAGCCAAAATCATGGCCGCAGGCAGACTTTGGAACTAGGTATATCTGCCATCAGCGTTTGAGTCTTCCTTGACTGTTAATTGATGGCTTTGTACGTAAGCTTCACTATCAATAATGAAATGTTTGCTTTTAGTGGATTCTGATCTAAGGTGAATAAACTCTTCATACAGACTTACGAGACTGAGAAGATATTCTAGTTTACACTGAAGTTGTATATTAAAAAGTGAAGGACCCACATCTTTGAATAAGCAACAAGGCAGACTCTGAAGGTCACAAGAATCTGTAACTCAGATGAATGAGTTCATTGCACAGGATAATGGGGAAGAGAAAGGAAAAGAACTGAAGTTTACATTTCCTCAGAAATGAAAATAGCAGCACGAAGACCTTAGGAAGCGAGTTCCATTTCTGACAGTCTAGAATTCGTTAGATCAAAAATGACTCTTCTATAGTCACTCCTTTGAAAGGACACCAGTCTGTTCTATCAGGAGAAATGACAGTCCTTAAGAAACTGAATATTACTGCAAGAAAATATTCCTTTAAAATACTCCCACGAGAAAGAAACAATCACTTAATGACACCTGTGTCAGGTGCTTCATGCCTTTATTCAACTTAATCTACAAACCTAACCTGAGGCAGATGGTGTGACTTTCATTTACAGTTGGGGACACTTATACTTGGGAAAGCTGAAGAACTTTTCTGAGGTCAAAAAGCTGACATGCAAGCCCCAATTGGATCCCAGGTCCATGTGCTTTCTCCCACACCATGCCACCTAAGAACGCATTACAGAAGATGTAACTTCTCTTTGATTTTCTCTTGCTTCTTGGCAATGCAACGCCCTCTTCCCGCCCCAATGTTTTCCAACCTTTCCTTCACACGTAGAATATCTACCACCTCTCTCCTAGACAGAAAGACCCACAACTTGTTACGAAATTTTTTGTTATAAAACATTTAATGTTAACCTACAATACAATGTAAACTTTTATGAAAAAAATTTAAAGTACACTAGATTTCTTCAGTAAATTACACGTAACTATTCAGGTGCAGTCCAAGTTGGGGCACTGCATCCTTTGTGGATGGACTTCCTGTTGCCACGTTCCTCACAAGTCCTGAAAAACTGGTTGTGAAGTGGGAATTCTCCTTCAAGCACCAGATACCCCCCTGATTTTGCATTCTGGGGGCTATCGCTCCTTCCCACAGTCATCTTCTGGAATTCTTTCCTTGGTCTTGGCACCATTAGCAATTTTCATAATAACTGCTCAGCTGAAGATTCTAGGTTCTTTTCAGTTTCAAGAGATATTCTCCCCTGGCCATCTCTTATCCAAACATCGTAATGGAGGCAAGGAGAAAGAATTATTTGCTGCAGGAAATTCTGCAGAAGTGGAAGAAAAGACTAGAAGGGCCCCACTGAGGCTGCAGAAATTCAACTGACTCCAATGGTGTCTTCGCTTGGTCATTTCCCATGGTCATGCAGCTGAATCTGCAACTTCAGTCTGGGGAGTGCAGAACAAAATTTGACACAAGTGTTTTTCTTTAGTTGATGACTTGCCATTTGGAAACAACAGCTGAAATCACCCAGGAGTGACTTGGAAACAAGAGCAAATGCTTGCAGATCACCAGCTCAACATTTTCTCCCTCGCAGGTCCCATCAAGTTCCCAGAGGTCCCTGGGAGTAACATACAGATTGTACTGGCATTGACAAAATGTGCATCTTTCCGGAAGGAAAGGAGATGGCACCTAGGCAGCAGCTCTAGGGTCAGCAAGGAGACAGAAATGGGGTCTGGGTAAAGCAGGGCTATTTCAATACAGGCTAGTAAGGAATATGTGCTTCAGGAGAAGCCTCTGGAAACCTAAAGTAAATGTGTAGGCTGTCCCAAGAGTTGTACCGACAAAAACAGAAACTTTTAAATATTCTGGCATCCGACCTCTTTCACTAAACAAGTTATCAAAAGGCAAGAGGCATAAAGTGCACATTGTAGAATAAGATGCAGATGGAATAAAAGAAAAAAGTTGACAACTTCCCAAAGAGGTGTGGGCAAGGTCCGCAGTACACCCCAACCTAGCGAAGGTCCTGAATTCCCCGTGGTACTGCCAGGGAAACAGCTGCGAATTCACTGGGGGAGGGAGGCTGTGAGTTAAGTGGAAAAATTTCTCTTTGCATAGTTGTCAGAAGGAAGCAGACTTCACACAAGGTTGAGTGGAGAACATAGTTTATCCTGGTATTCACTCCAGATACATTTTATGACAATAGAAAGCGATTTCACACTCATCTGGCCTTGGGACAGCAGGAAACAAAGTGTAAGAATAACAGGTAGCCAGAAGCAGAATGAAATTTCTAGAGATGGTGTTCTAGACACCTGTGCCAAGACCACACTGGGAAATTCTCTGGCTCCAGAGGTGACACCCATGAGGCTCCTTGCACTGCAGAGAACGGCAGCCAGGTCACTGCTGCCTAAGACGTCCTTGAGTTTTAGTTAAGCAAGAGAGGAAGCCTTTGGAGACCGCAAATCCAGCAAGTTTTGCTTTATCTTGACAGGAACCTCTGGCCTCACAGCATGCTAAGAACTAGTAACTTCAGGAAGTTGCAGTGTTCTGACGAGTCTGCACCAGTCTAGCTATGGAACACTTTGGAATGCTTGTCAGCTCAAGCTGGCATCTGTTAAGACGTGGCCTGACCCATTTACCCATTTCTATAAACTCAACCACAGATGAGACATCCAGAGGTTAAAAAACCCTATTACTTCAACATAGCAATAGAGGAAGAAGATAAAAACTGCCTCCAGCAGGTAGCTACATCAGAAACTGAAATCGGCCTTCTAACAGTTTACACAGGCTGAGAGTGATCTTGCTCCCCTCAAGGCCTCTACTTTTCTATCTTTAGACCACCACTACCACCACGTGCCCACCGAGAGAGGCAGAACACTCTCACAAGGTTTTGCTGGTTCCACCACAGGCCCTGCTAGTCCTCTGGAAAGGCACCAAGCTTGGCAATTCAGGAAAGCCCAGGGCTGGGCAGGAACAGCATGCATGTGTCAGAAGAGGAATGAAGAGCTGCTATCCTTTGGTTGAGACCCCGCAATAACCACCTGGTACAGTTGCCAAGGAAAAGCTGCAGTCATGTGTACAGAGAGCACATGGAGCTCACGGCGCATGTATGGGTGTGTCTGCACATCACAGCCTTTGCAGGGGCTGCCATCCCAGATCTCCCACTGCTCCAAGTGGGGTACATAGGTGGCGAGAAAGGACAGTAAGAATTGGACCGAAAAGAATGACCTCTCTGGGAACTTGAGAGGGGCAATGGCAGAAATAAGCACAAACCAGCCCGGGGCACTTTTATTGTACTCTTGTGGGCTAAAGAGCACAGGGCATGAATTCATGGGTTTAAGAATTGGCTCTTTATCAAGTAAAGAAAAAGAAAATACACCTATGTCAGCCTCATTCCTTTGGTCAATACAAAGCAACAGAAAAAACTGAAGTTATTCATAAATTGTGGGAAGTTCAAGGAACATCTGAGCTGTGCCTTCTCTTCCCTCTTCTCCGGAGGCAGGAGAAGCAAGTCCTTAGGAGATGCTGCAGTAGCTGGTTGATGGAGATTTTTCACTTTTATTTTCCATAAAAGCGAGAATGAATGAGAACTAGTGGGAATGTCCCCTCCCCAGCTGGGACAACGGCTGGGTTGGAGGTGAAGAGTCTCCTCTCGCTGGAAGGTATGTGGTGCAGAGGCAGTAGGGAAAAGATGGGCTTGCCGGCTGGGACGTCCACTGCTAACCTCGTGTGCACAGGTGGTGGTGACTCTTGCAGGCAGCATGGTTTCTGATCCTTCCTTAGGATGCAGCAGTTTTTTTAAAAAAAATATTGTATTATAATAATAATAATATGAATTTCTCTCTTTTTTTTGTTTTTGTTTTTTCCATTTCTCTTAGGGATTGGGGTGGGAGGGGAGAGGAAGAAAAGTGTCATTCGTCTGTTAGGTCCTGAACAAAGAGAACTTCTGTGTGGCTGAGTCCGGCCTCCTGCAGCGTGGGGGGGTTGGGCCACTCCTCTGAAGGGATGCAGGGCAGCACGCGCCGGGGAAAATTAGCTTCAATCTGAAACTTTTCAGGGCTTTCTTTTAAGGAGAATAAGAAGTCGTGGATTACCTGCAGAGGTCACACAGAAAAAGAAGGGCAGTGAGAAAACACACACACACTTCTCTCTCTCTCTCTCTCTCACTCAAATCAAGTATCTCCCAGATCTCCCCAGGATGACTGAGACATGAAGTAATTATACTACATTGGAATTCTACTACGAGGTCTTTCACAGAGTAAATTCGGAAGGCAGCTCTTTAAAGAGATTTATGACACAGTCCTTTGCTAGTCCTACTCTGAACTGATTCATGTTTCTTCTTTGACAACCTGATATAAAGCTAAAAAATGTTTATTGAGAAGAAAAGTTGGAAGTTGGATATGATTTCCTCTGAACCAGCTGAGACTGAGCTGCCAGCCTGATGTCCCATCATCCCAGAATACTTATGTATGTCTTATGAACAGGACAATCTCCATAACCATAATACTGCCCTCAAAATCAGGAAATTTAATTGATATATTACCATAATAATTATTTAAGCCCTATTAATTTCCATCAGTTGCCCTTTATAGCAAAAAAAAAATCCAGTATAGAATTGTGTTACATTTAGTTGTCATATCTCCTAAGTCTGCTCTTTTAGACTGGAGCATATCCTCAGTCTTTCCTTGACTTTCACAAGTCTTAAGACTTGTCCTTTGACAAGTCTTAAGATTACTGGGCAGTTATTTTGTAGACTGTCTTTCAATTGTTTGTCAGGATTAGATTCCGGTTACGCCTCTTCGGTAGGAATATTACAAAAACGAAGGTGCACTGCGCTCAATGCATCCTATTCAGGTGAGGGCATTTTCAATGGATCCCATTACCTATAATACTCACTTTGATCACTTGTTTAAGGTGGTGCCTGCCAGGCCTCTCCTCCATAGTTGCTCTTTTCCCCTTTGTAACTAATGAGTATTTTGTGGGGAAGTATTTTGAAACTATGGAGACATTCTGTTTCTCAAACTTCAATTTACTTATATTATTATAAAGTCATGATTTCCTACTTTATTCAACAGGTTGTAATATTACAATCATTATTTATATAATGTTCAAATTGTTCCAGATGGAGTCAGAAGGAGCCCTTTCGAGCTGGTGTCTGTGTCTTTCTGACATGTCTCCATTGTTTTTTGAATAATTACTTGCTTTCTGGCACAAGATGCTCCAGGATGCTCCTGTGTTTTCCCCACCTCAGCCCTGGAAGCTACCATTTCTCCAAGGAGCCCTGGTTTTTCCCAATGGACAATGGCATTATGAAAAGCCACAATCTAGGTGCCAGGTACGTTCACTGCTACTGAGGTGCCGCCGCCGCCAAGCAGTCTCCTGGAGGAAGCTGGAGAAGATAGGTACATACCACACACCTACATCTATATGCCAGATCGCCATATACATATATCAAAGACCAATTCATCACCCTCTGCACTCGGTCTGGCTTCAGCATTCCAACCCACCCGGGCCACTCGGGCTGTGACTTCTTTGCATTGGGCTATGCCATGGGAACCTCTCCTTAACTTGATGGAGATATGACACCTTCCACATGGACTGCTCCTCTGAGGGAACACCCTCCTCACTCTGCTACAGCTCTGACAAGGTACAAATTCCTAACCGGAAGTAAGGCGACATCAGGAAAACTCACAGGCCTAAAACTTAAAATGTGAGCTACCTATGAAACAGGCCACCTTTATCTTCCTGCCTCTAAATGCTGCATGTTAAGAAAGGCACACGGGATCTGCCCCACGGCCCTCTTTCCCGAGCCCTCTATTTCTGACTAAGAGATGCACTGTGAAGGCAACGCCAAACTCCTTCAGCTCAATCTCAAAGATGAGGAACACAGCATTCATGTTACCCTTACCTTCTGAGAGAATTTCTATGTTCTTTTTGTTCCGCTTCTCATAAGTTATTGCTCTCTGTGTGAAGCAGTCCTTCCTTCACTTGTCTTACACTTATCTCTTTAGAGTATTTAAGGGGCTACAACTCCAGAATTTAAGGAGTAAACCCACGGTCCCATCTAATTCATTCATGATTTTAAACTTCTCACATTTTAGTCTATCAATATCAATCATTTTCAGTTCCTTTCTCTGACTCTGTAATTTCCATTCACTCTCCTTCTCTTCTCTTCAGATGCATCAATCAGACTTGCACCAAGTATTCCTGGTATGAATCCAACATGGATTTTAAGCAAGGGTGAAACAATACTTTGTTGCCTTTCAATCATTGCTCGAGAATACAGCAGTCTCGTTTTCTGTAGGGGGTATGCTTCAAGACCCCCAGTGGATGCTTCAAATTGTGGATAATACTAAACGCTATATATATATTATTTTCCTATATATACATATCTATAATAGTTTAATTTAAAATTAAGCACAGTAAGAAATTAACAACAATAATAAGATGGAACTGTAACAATATACTTAATAAAAGTTATGTGAATGTGGTCTCTCTCTCTGATAACCTACCTGACAACCGAGAGTGGGGCGGGGAGTGCACAGCGTGGACATGCTGGACAAAGGGATGATTCATATCCCAAGTGGGATGGACCAAAATTTCATCATGTTACTCAGAATGGTGTGAAATTTAAAACTTACAAAGTGTTTACCTCTGGCCTTTTCCATTTAATATTTTCAGACCACATTATGTGGATGACAGGTAACCAAAACTGCAGATAAGGGGGAACTACTGTACTCAATAGTGGTACAAAACTGGTATTTTTGGTTACCACTGACAATGGCTAACATCATTAAGGGACAGATGGCATCACAGAGAAGGTCCATTTTGATTCGCAATGGATAGAAAAATGAGTTCTAGGCTAAATATAATTTAGATTCTCTCTTATATGCTTCATTTAAGAGAAAATCAGCTGCCATTTTTCTGCCCACTCACGGGGCCTGGGAGATTTGTCTAGTTTACCCTTTATCTTAGTATTTTAGCACTATCAAGAGCTGAGCACTATGTGCAAACTATTTCACCAAATATTCATTCGTCCTTGAGATTATGAAGGGCGGAGCTCACTGGAAGACAACACAAGAATCTGTAAGAGCACTAAAAAACTAGAAATTATTCAGTCGTATGTTATTAACTCTATGAGTGTCAAATTAAAAAGGCTAGCACTGCCTCTATACTTCTCCTTTACCCTTCTTTCCCATCTTTGAGCCTCATCCCCATTTACGATCAAGTCTCTCACAGTCTGAGGTTTACGTTTCGTTTTTTAAATAACTTTTTCTGAGAACCTATTTAAAAGCCTTCAGAGATTAAGTAGGCTTTGGCCACAAACCTATTCTGTTCCACAATTTTAACAGATTTTCCTCAAAAACTCTCACAAGAGTAAATTCTGGTTAGGTTTTTCATACGTATAACAAGACTTTGGGGAGTAGAAGCTCCATAAAGCTCAGGCATACTACAGCGCAATCAGTGAACGTGGCTGCAAGCTAAAATCCATATGCAAACCAGTAGTTAGGACACATGCCAGGGGAAAGGACATCACTTAGGAACTGCCAACTGCACAGTAGATGCTGTGTGAAGCTCATTTTATCCTAATTAAAGAATCCAAGGCTAGAGATGTAAGTACCTTTCCCCAATATAAACAAATGCATAGATGAGATAAACAAACAAAATGAGGAAGCTATTTGCTTCTCACTCAAGAGGATGCCTCACAGCTTTTCACTCTGCTTTAGCTCTTTGAGTCTTACATTCCCTTCTGGCCTGTAAAAGCTGCATGAAATCCAGAACCACATCTGTCATTCGTATAATCTCTAGAGTACCAAACACAGTGCCTTACATATCTTCGGTTTGAAGTTATTACAGTTCCATTTTACAGATGGGCTATGTAGGCCCTGCAAGATTCTGTAACGTGACCACCGTTCTCCAGTTAAACAAAGAGGGGTAATAAATGTGCTACCCAGCCTCACTTGACTGTAGTGCATCCTCATTTCCATTACGCAATTTACTCCTATTTCCAGTGATCAGGGAAACAGCAGAATCCACTGTAGTTGTAAATTTGAAAAACCAACTTTCGATATAAACAGAAACTTCTTTTCGGTTATAAATACCAAAAATAAGTTAGCATTTGAGTGCTTACAATGAGCCAGGCACAATTTCAACACTGTATATATGAACTTAATCCTAAAAACCACTACCCTATCAGAGTGTCTATTACACTTGTTTTACAGATGAAGTAACCGAGGCTTAGAGATGAAGACAAGTGACCAAGGAAATACATCTAATCACCTGGGAAGAATGAGAATTTAATTCTCGTTCTGTGAGACTTTAATAAGAATCTCTACTTTTAAGTACTTCATTATGGAATGACAAACACTATTTACCACTTGTGGGTGCCAGATATACACGGCAGCCCCACAAAGTGGGGCTTCCTATGGCCTAAGTGGGTAGAAAGGGAAAGTGACGACTGCATGCAAAGTGCACGCACACTTCTATTCTGAGGGGTAACTCTGCAACTCCTAGGTCGGCGGAGACAGATCTTTCTCTACAGAGCAAGAAGTTCCGCTGAGATTCTGAAACCAATGCAAACCAAGCAGCATGGCAGAGCCTCCCTTTTCAAACAGACAAGTCTTGTGGGACTTCTTGGCAAGGAACCATTTTTTTCTTAGCAGAGCTCAAATGTGATGAAAGAAAACTTTACTACTGCTGAGTTGGTAGCCATAACTGAAGGCATCTATGATAGTTCTCTGCACTCTTCTCTCCATGCTCCCCTTCCTCTCCAGTTCATCAAAGCAGCAGATACACCAATGAGACTCTAGAGACTCCTTAAAAGCCTCCAAGTCTACAGGTCAGACTCTATATACACATCACACGACTCAGGTGGTCCTTACTGTTAAAGACTGTGAAAAGTGGAATCGTCTCTCTACTCGAGAATCATTAGGTAATTTGAAAATGATCTTGACACTTTCAGGGTCATCAGGGGAAGGCTCAGGGGGCAGGCACTCCAACTTCCTTTCCTTCTCCTCCTGTAAAT